GAACTCCTAGTAAAGACCTTTAAATCTACTACGTGCCTCTTTTCTCATCCCATTTTGTCGATATATTTATAAAGCATCTCAGGTTCCCCTCATTTTCCCCCCCTCCTTTTCTCATCTCCGTTGTGATCCTCTCAGTCAATACAGCAAAGAATTATGCTGGCAGACGATTATATAAGTCTTTATCCTCTGAGTAACTCTTGGGTCAACCTGCATGGTCGAGTGATGTGCTCAGCGCATGACTCAGTTTTCTGACATCTATTCATAGATGTTAACTACTGCAAAATTAAAGTTGCTTGTGTAAATGTCACAGTCAGAAGATGACAATGTTAAGAGGGAGTAGCTTGTTGGCCAATGACGCACTCTGCTACTCTGCGTGGTTTCATAAAGCAAATACATCCTAACACTCTCCACCGCGATACAGAGAGAAAGATGATTCACTCATTAGCCGCAGAGTGTTAATTTACGCAGTGCCGTTAGATTCCAAACTGTCACTGCCGTGTAACAACCGCATATGGTTGTTTTTAATTTAAAAATTCCATTACAGAAAGATGTAAGCAATGAAAATGTGTTGACCTTCGGGTTAATGAAACCTCTTTGATGCAGTGACACGAACTCAAACTCAAAATGTCCGGTCGTCCGGTTCAAAACTCCTTGGATCAACTGACAAAAGTAGTTTTGAACAACGGCTGTATTGTGACACGTTTGTTACTGCTTCTTGTTTGCACAGTAATTTACTCTGTTAGAGCAGCAGCATGAAAGGAATGTGTTTAGAGAGAGTGTGGAGTTGACTTTGTGTTTAAAGGGGTATTCCGTTAATATTGCTCATCCATAAAGTTTGGGGTCAAGCCGCCATTCCCCAGAACACAATTCAACATTTGAATGATTTTTGTCATTTTTTTCCACTCGTGGCCTCCGTTTGTAACAACTTTTATGTCGAAGAGTCTAGAGCCCAACTTCGAATATCCCCAAAGACATCACTATGACATCATCTGGGTTATTTACTTTAGGCTCTCAAAAAAGGTCCCACAGAACACATTCTAACTGTACTGCCAATGATGAGTAAACTTACCGTACATGTAAATAAATGTACTTGTCAATTCACTTGTCACATCAACCTCATCATTTATCATTCATCCTTCTCATTCGTGTAATGTTACTGCTTCAGTTTCCATCATGTAGCACAAGTCAATACAGTGTCTTTGTTCCACTAGTTTTCACATGGAGCTTTGCTCAAACTCACGTTTTGTGACTGTTGAACAGTATAAGACTACTACTGCATCTGTGATTTGCTCTGAAAACTCATCAATAACTGACATCCCAATGGTGCTACGGGAAAATGTCTCCCCTTTTTTGTGTGTGTGACACTGGCTGAAGAAGCGCATTCAGTCCTTGGGTCACTTCCAACCCGCACGGACTGTAATTGATGATTTTAAGCGAGCGTTCCACCCAAATCCATCTTTGTCATGCTCAATATATTACATTAACTCTTTGCAAATCATCCACCTGGGGTATTGATTTGATTAATGACCCAATGTTATATTCATGTTATCCATTGCCTCTCCATTGCTCATTGTGCCATCAGTGCCAAGCGCCCTACTGACCCCCGGTGGCGTGGAATTTATGGTGCAGTGCTCAGGACCACGGACAGCGTCAGAGTTCATCAAACTCCAATGAAATAATAGAGCATTGTGGGTCCTTGACAGCAATTTGTGACACATAAAGCTGCATATTTTAATAGACTGTTAAATATTTCATTAGGCACTCTAATCAGTTAAAACATTTAGTGCGGTTTCTTAACATAAAGCTTACAGTGGACTGATGCACAAGAGCAGCTAGTCGACCAAAGACAGAAACATGCAACATTATGTTTGCTTGCTTCGTTAAAAGCTGCTAAGCCTCGTACTATTAAGACATGTAACACAACACACGATTGTTTCCCTGTTAACTGTAAAACGCTCACATCCCCAAATGATCTTCCTCTCAACCAAAAAATGGCTGTATGCACGCCTGTTTAAGGACACTATTAGACTGCCTGATTATTAAAATGTCATTCTTTACACAATCTAAAACACAGCTTCAGCCCTCTGCGGCCAACAGAGATGTTTCCTCTCCCAGCGGTTGGGAAACAGGGGTCTTGCCCTACAGAAAGTGCAGCTGTTTGTTAGCTATGAACGGCCAGAAACAGCAGCCAGAGGCACATGTGTGAAATATGTGCAGCGATGAGTTTGATCAGCCCAGAGGCTCGGCTGGTCATTTGTCTGCTGCCAGCGATCAATAAGCGGACTGCCAAGCATGCCAAATCAGTTTTTAGCACTTTCTCCTTGGTTTTGCGTTCATCCCATTCATCAATCCCCCCTCGGTTATAAAATCCCCCTTTGTGGCCACGTCATTGCTCCACGCGCACACTTCACACTGTCCTATACAGGCTCCACGCTTGGTGGTATGTGAGGAAAAGGTGTAATTAAGGTGAAATGAAGGTCTTCTATCGTTAGGTGCACTCTGAAAAGTATCACCGTTAATTAACGGTATTTTTCTGGCAGCAAGGACGCCAGGAATTTACCGTTATTTTACATTATAATACCGTAAATGGTTTTTACACTATGTTACCGTAAAATGGATTACTGTATGTTACCATGAACTTGAACAAATTTTACTGTGAATTAACTGCAATTTACTGGCAGTCGACGCTAGTAATTTACTGTTTTATTTGCAGTGCCCTACCGTATATTGGTATATACGGTCGTATATTGGATTACAGTTTGTTACCATACGATTACTGTTTTTGTGTTATAAATACCAGAATGTTATCGTTTACTTATAACCGTATACTTTTGCATCGAATTCCCCACAAATTAAAGAAAGACAACCAAACTAATTTCGGTCATAGTGGTTGGAGTTTATTAGATGCCTTGAAGACAAAAATGTTAGGCATTTGGAACCAAGAACAAAACATAAAATATGCTGCATGTATACAATAATAAAAAAATGAATCATAAAATCATTAGGAACAAGGTAAACTAACTGCAACAATACGCTATGGAACACTTTCAATTGACCGCAGCAAACGGCTGGCGTCCTTAATCCAGTGCCTTTATCAAACAAACCAAAATTTAATATTTAGAAACACTGTCATTGGTAAAATATTAAAATTACAAAGTTGAGGAAGACAACAAGATGAAAGGAAGGAGAATGTTAATCATGCTAGGCAAATAACACTTATCAACGTTACTTGGAGAGACGAGGCAATGAGAAACTCCTCCGATGTTGAACTGCACAGGTGTTCTGGATGAACTGGATGAACTGAGATTACACGTCTGACGTCACGTTCAGGAGCAGTCGGTCACGATAAACACTCAAATGACTTTTAGGCAATGAACACTTTGAATAATACAAATATTTATAATCGTTATATTCCAACCACTGAAACGACAGCAAAGGCAGCGCATGGGATAAGGAGGGTGTGCTGTGCAGCACAAGGTTGGCGGTTTGAATCCTGGCTGCTCCCTGTGCCAAGTTGAAGTGTCACTGAGCAAGACACCTAACTCCCAATTACTCCACATAAAATTATGTCAAACCATGGGCGTTTTGGATAAGAGTGACAGCTGCATGTATAGTAATGTCCTGTAAGTCAAAGTCATCTCATTATGATGACTTACAGGACCTGTTTTTCAGTGGCTGACATGGGCTTCCATACATTAACCTACAACAGATGTAGATGGATTGTGATTCACTGCACTTGTATGTGTATTTCCACCGCTTCATAAAATATATGTAGCATGCAGTTGAATTACGGTAGTCTGCTATTATTGTAAATTGACAGCTTTAACTGTTTATTCATGACATTGGCCGTTAATTTACAAGCAAGGGATGGAAATTTAACTGTATGTTAGTTATTATGACATACTGTAAGATACCGTTAGAAATGCACCGTAAATCTACAGCAATTTGTTACAGTGTGGCCCCTGCGTCCTTCTCCATCGTGTCCCGTGTTGACTGCGTCTGTTGAACATCAAGGTCAAGTTGTGAAACAGGAATGATTTAGCAAAAAAAAAGCTCAGGGTTGGTAAGATTAGAATATTGTACTGTATATTGTAAAAGAACTTGAAATTGATGAGAATAAAACTTACAACATAATTTTAAAAAAGGGGGAGGGCCGGGATTGCATTTAATGTCATGATGCAACATGAGCCAAAATACATCAGTACATCATTTTTTTATGGAGGTCACTTTTCAACCTGTGTGCAACTTTTTTATCAACTCCTTACAAAGCGTGTAAGAATAACAGCGTGAGGCCTGGCGCCTCTGAGAGGATCATAAGGAGATCAAAACCTGTCCATACAACATGTATAATGTAGTAAACTATAACGTTAAACTGTTTAAACAACGCAGCAAGTAAGCAAAGGGAGAGACGGCTGCACGTTCAACCCGGCACTGAGTGCACACACAACTCTACACTGTTAAACAAAGCAAATCATCGGTGTTGAGAGTTAATGGAGTGTGTTGTTGTTGTTGTTGTTGTAGTTTTACTCACTTTGCTAAAGGGCACTCTGGGAATTTATGCACCTCAAGGTCCCACTCAGTCTCCTTTAGGTTCTTTCTCTCAGTATTGGCGTTCCTGAAGAGTCCCACAGGGTGGAAATATATCAACTGACTTTTTGTAATTCTCTGCTGCAATGATGGGCATCGCACAAGAGCCTGAAAGTCGAGCCCGAAGTTTCCTCAGGCGCACAATAACGGCACGCATTGGGGCTGTTTAGCTTGAATCTAACGGATGCAGTTTGAATATTAACACTTTCTATAAAAAAGTTCATTTAAATAGGTTAACATTGAAAATAGTGTACCCTTTTTTTTTTTAAGCCTACACAACTAATAGGCATAGAAAACTTGTTTTTGTACAATTGTACACTGACATTTCTAATAATAATTTGCGAATTGTATGATCCTTAGTAGGTTGTCGTTTAAAGCATTAGAGCACTCCCAGAACATAACTATCAAATGACTCAATGCACAACCAAGTCTTATTTATTTTGCACCAAACTAAAATACATGGTGCAAAAGATAAATTCCCAGTTACAACATCAGTGACAGTGCATCTCTGTAAAATAATAATGCTCAAAAAAAGGAAGCAAAAATATCATCAATGCAACAAAAAAACACCAATTAATTAAGAAAAATAGCAAATGTCCAAACACAAACAACCTTACAAACAGACAAAGAGGGAAAGCAAGAAGGAAATAATACAGTAACTTGCAATATCGATTCATCTGGTACAGAAATATTGGTACGACCAACTTCCCAGCACCATTCATCCTCCCACACAATCGTTCAGTCCCACACACACACACACACATCCTCTCTTATGGTGCTGGTACACAATAACCAATTCAATCATTAATCCCATTAGCACAGCATTAATATCAATAACATGTAATAAATATAAAGGAAAGCACCTTTAAAGCTGAAATGTGTTTAATTGATCAACTGTCTGTGCAACACGTAAAAAAAGAAAAAAAACATCAGAAGACTAATATACCATAAAAACAGTTTTCAAATCTTAAAATCATTCCATACATTGCTCTAAATCAAGAATGAGTATATACACAGAAGTTGCAAGATGGGCTCATTGGAACCATATTAAATTCATTATTAAGTGTCTCTATCTGTGAATTTCAAAGCCATACAATGTTTTAAAAGCGCATCTGCAGAAAGACAAATTCGGGAGAACCTTAAATCACAAGTGGCATCCCAACGGGGGACATAAAATGTCACTTTATCACATCAGATCCTATTTGTGAGAGCTGCATACGGCGCTGGTCTGACAGGGCAGCAAAGATAACTAAAATACCCTTTTCACAAGCGAAAAAGGCGATGGACACATTAAACCACCAAGATGGATTGTTCTCCAAATCTACGTACAAACACTCTCGTGCACTTGCTAACATTAAAAACATCTCCATAGCACACTTGGGATACCAAAATATTTTTTTTTTAAAAAGGTTCTTACAGTTCATCTCCACAACACATTAGGATGCTAGAAATGGTCGGAGCGGCACAACAATGCGGATCATTTACAGTACGAGGAGAAAACCACACACACATTTCATAACCGTTTCTGTCGCCATCTGCGTTTACTAGTCCTACCGTTGGGTTACGGTCAACTCTGCGACCGCTATGAGTGTAAAAAAAAACTAAACAAAAACGTTATCAGAGGAATTGATGGAGACGTGCAGTTGAGACTGCGTCCAATAGAGACCACTGTGACAACAGCCTGCTCTGTGATCGCAAAGGTCACACGTACAGAAGCGTTGTCCTCTGGGCTTTTTTGGATCATCTACGCTCTCAGCAAATAGTGCAACAGCAAGAAAAAGATTAGTGCTTTTGTGTGGGAGAGCACTCGTGGGCTGAGTTTTAGACAAATTGTTTTGCGTGCAGTAAAGTTCAGAATAAATACACTATCGAAGGATTCAGTTTGTGAATTTTCATTTGCAACGTACAAATCTGTGTTTTCTCATAACGTTTATTTCATTGCGTTGCTATAAATATGGCTTTGACTCATTTATGGCTCTGTTTTCCCTTTGTTCCTATATAGCCAGGCACGGTTTCTTACCGAAAGTGAAATCAAGTATCTTTTTTTGACTTTTCAGTGTGAGCTATCCTCAAACTATAGTCAGCAAATACTGGATACAAATGTTTTTCTCAAGGCCACAGATTTCTGTACATCTTAATGATGTAAAACTAGACGTCTACCATCTACTCCATCCATTCAAAGAAAAAAACAGTTTGGTTTGGGGAGAATATGGCATAATGAACAATTTTGCGTTGCTGTTTTTTTCTACCGAAAACAACCAACCTGGACCGGCCTTTTGGTTTGTCAGTGGGTTTTTTTTTTGGGAACTGGGTGACCCCCCCAGAGGAGACTGCGTTAACGTATAAGCATATACCTCTTTATTTCCCTTCCGTTCTCTCCGCGCCATTTCGGCTAGCTCGTTTCCTTCGGGGTCCCGCTTTTCTTCGGGGTCCCAGTTTGTTTTGGCTGAGTCTTGGATGTGGTTGCAGAAGCAGAGGAGGACGTGGAGGAGGAGGACGATGAAGAGGATGAGCTCCAGCGGGTCTCGACGCCCGTGCTCGTCATCTTCAGCTTTCTGCGTTTTGCAAGCGGAGCATTGTCGACACTCTTCAGGAAGAAACCTTCTCTCTTACCGAGGTTGAAAGCCTGGCAGGGGGCGGAGGGGGGGCACATTGAGTTCATGCAATCGTGTATTTTCAGTACTCAGCCAAATGTTATACACGATGCTCCTACCTTGTAGGTGGCATTGACATAGGTCCGAACAGTAGGCCCGCTAGACTCTAGCACATCTGGAGTGCACAGAGGAGTGGTGGACATGGACGCTGCGCCCTGCAGCCAGCTGTTCTCTTTCAGATCCGACAGTTTGAGACGGGTCTCTGGGTCCACGGTCAGTAGGCCTTAAAAGAACCGCATGAAAACAGTCAAAAAGGGGGGAAGCTTCTTGAGGGAAGCGGACAGAACAAAGAAAAATCCTTTCTCTGACTTCAGACGAGTGCTCCGCTCAGAGGGAGCTCACCAACCACACGGCAGGCAGAAAATCTACCAAACATGGACCAAGTCCCTTATGTAATGTTGCTAAAGCAAACTGAAAACTAAAACGTATCAATCACATACCTTTAACAAGCTCTTTGGCGTTCTCCGATACGCCCTTCCATGCCTCCCCATCCAATGAGAAATCACCCTCTTTAATCTTCTGCATGATGTCAGCGGCGTACGATGAGGTCATCCCCCGCTGCTCACTCTGAAATGGCACCTGGCCTGACAGCATGGTGTACTGATGAACCCCGGACACACACACACACACACACACACACGCACACGCACACGCACGCAGAGTCATTAGTACTTCTATTAGTGCAACTTATTTGACCGAATCAGCGGTTGTAGGTCAAATTACCAAGATGACCCCAAGACTCCAGAGGTCGCAGGCTTTGTCGTAGCCTGCACTCTCAAAAAGTTCAGGTGCAGCGTACTGCAGCGTGAAGCAGGGAGTCTGCAGGGGGGCGCTGCCTGCTGGGCACAGGCGGGCAAATCCAAAATCTATTACTTTCAGCATGGAGTCCTCCGCCTCATCTGCAAACAGCACATTCTGCATGGGAAGAACACATTTCGTGATCACTTTTCATTCATTTTACTGAAGACTAGAGTAGCTAAATAGCGCGAGTAAAAGAATATTACAACTATAAATAAGCTTTCGTGTGCCAATTTCCGTGCGCAGTGCAGCACATGTGGTGCAAAGCTAGCTGTATAGGGGGAACAGATGGGAGTTTCATAAAATAAAAAAAATAATAAAAAAGCCTCCCAAAATTTGTTGATATCTTGGGGAAAATTTGATTAGATGCCGGAGCAGACCAGCTATTTCCACATTGCCCATCTGACCACAATTCATCATTTGGTGGTTCCGTCAACAAGCGCAAGCCCAATACTTTTTGGAATTACGGAGTAATGTAGACAAACAATTTTAATTAAAACACTCTCCAACCAATCAAAGCCTTCAGGTTGGCATCAAATATAAAAGTTTATGTGATTACGACAGCCGTCTCAGTGAAACGTTTGAGCGTTACTAAAAGTTAATGGGTGATTCGTACCACTATCTGTCATTCACAGCTGCTCTGTACACCTTCCGTTAATTAAATCCCACTGCCATCGGAAGACGGGAGGATATGCATGTGATAAATCTGCAGCCTTCATTTTAAAAAGTGCGGCAGCGCACCAGAGACATTATGCACTGTTGTCCATTGTAATTATTTCGATCAAATCATGTGCAAAATGATGTTTGCAAAAAGAAAAAAAATAATAATAACATCCCTCCACATCACATGGATTGCTTATGTCTCTGTATTAAGCCGGTTTATGAGAGCCATCCAGGGAGAAAACAGAACACATACAGTTCACAGAGGAAAAATACAGAGAAGAGAAATTCTCTCCGGGCCCATGATTCCACACACCATGGCTTCCTTCTAAGCACCTAGGCTCTCTGGAAAACATTTTAACTACTGATATGTAATTGCAATTTGAATATGATGCGATACAGTGGAATTACAGATGCAATGACTTTGGACTGATGATTTGTATTTGGAAAGCAAATCACACATACACGTGTGCACAGAGCTTTGTGCTATTGAGTCATCCGGTTACTCCTTTTTCAGAAAGAGAGACTGAACATTTGGCGGAATGAATCAAGTCATCAAAGCACAGCTCACTTCTGGTTTGAGGTCTCGGTGCACGACTCCGGCCTCATGCATGAAGCTGACCGCCGAGACCAGGCTCTGTAACAGCTGACTGGCCTCCGCCTCTCCAAAGAGTTTCTTCCTCTTAATCCTTTCCAGCAACTCCCCACCTCGCAGAAGCTCCATCACTAGATATGTGTGGTACTAACGGAGGAGAGGAAAAAAAAAAAGAAAAGAGGTTTCAACATGGGTTCTGTACACTAAATTCATTTGTTTTTAACTGCACATGTCGTCCTGTGTGTGTGTGTGTCATTGGCTGTACCTGATCAGTGTACACTTCATGCAGCTTGACGATGTTTGGGTGAGTTTCACATTGCCGCAAAGCAGCAACCTCCCTCTGGGTGTTGGCCTCCATTCTAACGCAGAGAACACAATGTGCACATGTTAACGAGGACGTTCTGTGACTTGTGCTATCAGAGGGTACGGTGATACCGACGAGTATTCAAAGCTGAGATGGTGGAGCAGGATCTGTGAGTCATTTGTTCTCTTCATGATAAACATGGAATATAAAATCAGAGAACAGTTCATTTGTGATTCACTTAGAAACGCAGCACAATTAAAAAGGTTTTGAATAAAGAGGCCTCTGATTCAATTCAATTTGGATTGGATTTAATTTGGCTCTCAAAAGCTCACAACAAGGAGTCACCGTACGTGCATGCTGGGAATAACAGGTCTTCAGATTTCAAATTGTTACGTTAAAGTGAAGCAGGCAAAGAAGTCAGTCAATTCCCGGTCGCACAAATATAACATTCTAACTTAAAGAATTGGAATCAGCCCGTGGTTTGTTTTTTTCTAAATATATTTGGCTTGAACATAAAAATGAAAGCAGAAAAAACAAGCTTCTTTGTTTTTGAAATTCAAAACAATGTGAATTCATTTCAATTTTGTATCCTCCAATTAAATATGAAAGAAACCAATAATACACATTTATTGCGGCGTCACATCTCACCTTCGGCTGACGATCTTGACGGCAAACTCGTTGCCAGTTTGCTTATGTCGGCATTTTCTGCACACTGAGAAGCTACCCTCACCCAGGGGTGGCCCATGAAGGCACAGCTCATAGTGCTGAAAGAACTGGGACTCCTGAAAGAAGAGGTGGAATGAGTCACATCGAGCAGAGTGATTTTCCAGCAGAGTTAGAAGGACCTGACTTTGGTGAGCATTGACCAATTTGTGATACAACCTGAAGTCTATATTTAAGTACTTGAAAAGGGTTCGCTGAAGAAGAAAATGGACTTATAGGAGGGATGCATGGACACAGATATAACATTGTGCTAATCAGCATTACAACATCTACCTTTTATCTTCTATCCCTGCAATTATTTTATATAACAAGCTGTGATTCACATCAACACAGTAGTTTTAGATGCAGTGTAGGACGATAAATAAAGACTAGACAAGCTGACCTTGGACTTACCCTTCCTTAGCAAACAGTCCACCAGCGTATAATAAGTTATATTTCTTCAATATTGCAAAAGTAGAGTAAATAAACTTGGCAACAACAAGTGTATCTTCCTCTCTTCCTTCCCGTCTGTCCTGATTAGGAAACACTGCTTACAAAAACACTAATGGCTTCATGAAACATGAACTAGCGCTTTAAGCTCTGTACCTCTAGTATTGCACTGCGTTGCACCGAGGCTGAAGCCGGACGATCATTGTGGGATTTAACAAAGTCTCCCATGACCGCATTCTTGTTGAACAGGATGGAAGGGGCAACAAAGGAGTAACCCTAAAATGAAAGGTAGGTAATATTAGGTGTGTGACACGGTAATAACAGTCTGCTTAGAGAGAGAGGGAGACGGAGAAAGAGAGAAATTACACATGACTTAAAAAAAGCTTCAGCATACCCCAAACTCACAACGGTATCATTAGAAAAGGCACATTACACCACTATTGGATTTATAAGCACACACGTTTTTTAGTTGCAGTAATAGTATCGTATTATAATATATCAAGTGGATCCAGCGTCGATAAGGGCAACAGGTCGCGAGGCGGCGAGGCTGACCTGGAACAGGCGGTCGGTGCTCGGCGGTGTGCTTGCCGGAGAGTACACGGGATCCATCCCGGTGAATTCCTCAGCAAAGTTCCCGACATCGAGTTCGCTCTTCAGCTCGGGCCTGAAAGGACTCTGCACCTTCCTCTGTGCCAGGTCGGCCCAGTTCAGCCCCTGTGAGGAAGCACAGGGAGAGTTGTGGGTGGATGAGAAGGAGGCGACCGGGGAAGGTGATGTGAAAAAGACGGGCAGTCGCGGACCTTGAAGAAGGCGTGTGCTTTGATGTCTTCGGACCCTCGTGGTCCGGAGCCCAGCCGCCGGTGAGGATCTTTCACCAGCAACTTCCTCAGCAGGTCCTGAGCAGTGGGTTCGATCATAGAGGGAAACGGGGGATCACACCGAAGAATACGTCTGGGAAAGGTGGGGGAAAAAAAATGGTCACGGAAATAAAATAGTGTCCGCCTCGTCGGCTTCTAAGATACATCATACTGCGAAATCCCAGAGTAGACTTCATGTGGGATGTACAATAAGTCCAATTTGTGCTCGATATCTGAGATAAAGGATATGGCCTGAGAATAAGGCACGCTGATCATTTGAATACATGTTTATGGATTTGGGAGTCACTCACTTTGACACCTCGCTCTGGGAGTTTCTCTCGCCCTCCAGGGTAAAAGGAGAAGCGCCTGTCAGAAGCTCAAACATCAGGATGCCAAGACTCCACCAATCTACCGACTGAGGGAGAAGAACATAAAAGGAAAGAACAGAGGCGTAGTTATTCACCGGGGTTTTCTGTCAAACTGATTGCCTTGCATGATCACGAAAGTCAATCTTCTCTCTGATCTAAAGGTTGCCTCATGGCCTCTACAGTGACTTGAGATTATTTTGAACCTTGCACAGGAAAACCACAGCTATCCAAATTCAATACCGCATTTAGACTAGCATTTAATATCAAGAGCTACACTTCCAGTCCCAATGGAGCGATTGCTTTACAGCTCAACACACGGGAGAACTTGGAACATTTAACATGATCGAAATGAGGTGAACACTGAACATTTTCCCTGCGGTCATAGATTTACCTTGCCGTGCCCCGATTTCCCCCGGATGATCTCAGGTGCCATGTACTCGATGGTGCCACAGAAAGAGTAGGTCCTTTCCTTCTGTAATGAGGACCAAGCAATAAAGATAAAGTAATGGTAAATGGACTGTACTTGTATAGCGCTTTTCTAGTCTTCCGACCACTCAAAGCTCTTTAACACTACATGACATCATTCCCCCATTCATACACTGATGACAGGAGAACCACACACAGTGACACCTGCCATCAGTAACTACCATTCACACACTGTAGTCGCAGCTACAGGAGCAATGTTGGGTTAAGTGTCTTGCCCAAGGACACAACGACATGCAGGATAGCCGGGCCTGGGATCAAACCCACAACCCTCTGATTGGAGGACGACCGTGCTCCCCACTCACCCACAGTCGCCCATTAATGAACACAGCGTTACGAATGCAACGACAGGTCTCGCATTGTCTGCCCACGCGTTCAGATGTTGGTATCGTGCTTACGTACCTCTTCCTCCAAAAACTCCTTGCTCAGCCCGAAATCGGTCAATACCACATGGCCTTCACTGTCCAGAAGAATGTTTTCCAATTTGATGTCTCTGTACACAATCCCCAGCTGAACAAAAGCACACCGCAAAAGGATCCACGGTAAGTGTGTGAACAGAGACGGCAGGCAGTACACAGCTTCACAAGTAAAGATGACAAAGATCACACATTCTCGACTGAATACTTCCATCGCCAGTCAGTAGTTATAATCCATAAACCTGTAAACGGGGCTTTACGTTGTTAAGCAGGAGGCAGCAACACTCACCTTGTGCAGGTGCTCCAGGGCCAGGATTATTTCCCCAATATAGATCCGCACCGCGTCCTCGGGGAAGTGATCCCGCTGGTACAGGTGGGTGAACATCTCTCCGCCGCTCACATAGTCTGTCCTCACACACACACACACACACACACACACACACACACACAGCTTGAATAGACATCATAAAAACAGCCTTCACACAAAATGCCAACGAAGTAATCTGACAAACAGTAACAGGCAGGAATATAAAGACGACATTCATTCAGCCCTTTGAAGCTGAGGAAATGAGAGCGCTCCACATTTGGTTGAAGCAGGCCATCGCTCACCCAGGATGAGATGCAGCTTGCTCTGCGTCTGAAAGGCGTAGTGAAGCGTGACCAGGAAGGGGGACTGGCGAATGTGCTCCAGCACCTGCCTCTCGGTGCGAGTGTGTTCGGTCGTCTTTGCTTTTTGAACAATAGCTGCTTTCTTTAACACCTGCGGTAGTGATCAAAATGAACTTGACATCCCACCATGTGCAGGGCAAATATTCAAAAGGCTTTTTTTTTTTTTAACAAGATCGGTGAATCATTTGCGTAAAGATCATAGTGGGTTCAATTTTAAAACATAGCCCAGTAATTTAAATGTGTGTCTAAGGAATTGTTTTGTACGAAAGTGTATTAGGGGGATCAATGAATAAACACAAATTCTTACTATATTTATGAGAAAAAAACTCAGATATTCTCTGAGTAAAGTAGCAAGTTTACGAGAAAAGATGAGGGTCCAAATCATGGTAATGAAAACATTTTCTGATATATGTCAGCACGATATAAACAGTCTCACCTTCATAGCATAAAGCTGGCCCACATCGTGACCCGTATTCTTCCGGACCAAAAACACCTTACCATAAGCTAGAAAAACACAAAGAAATATCTCATCAAGTTGTCTAAATTTCTTACAGCACACAAGTGAAACTGAATTAGAATGTGAGCAAATATTATCTTGCACAGAATTTATTCTGTGCTCTCTAATTATTCATTATGAATGAGCTCTAATAACAAAGACGTCTACACCTTATGGTCAACCTTCAGAAAAGCAAAGTACTAGCTTGAGAAATTTACACCTGCCAAACCAGGAAGGGAATGTTTCACTGCACATTTTAGTTCTCAGGTATATTTTCTCCTTACAGTCTATTATGAAAATAATATGATAAAATTATGAAATGTGTTACGCTTCATTTAGACACTCACCTCCGGTGCCCAAGACTTTAAGCAGCTCAAAGTTCTCCATACCGACCCTCTCAGTGTGACCTGTGAGGTTAGCTAGAAGCAGAAATAAAACAGTAAAATATATATTTTTAATCTATTTTATCTATACAGTATAGGTATGTATATTAGAACCATGAAAATACTGACATTTTGGTTTCCAAAGGATATAAAGACACATTTAAATAATATCTTAAAATATGCTTAAACCTAATATTGAAGAGAAGGCATATTTTAATTGTGGGCAAATCAATTTAGCCAACAGCGTAAAATTGACACTTATAAAAGGCAAAATAATTTTAATTTAATTTTAAGCTTCATACACATACAGTGAAACCACACATCTATGGTGAATATGTATTCAACTATACAAGTGAAGATTTTAAATATTTAGTATTTATATGTTCACATAAATATAAAAATACATATAACAATATATAATATATGTTTTGACATATATACATTTATATATGTCCTCGTATTGTATTGTATTTACTTTTGTTGCTGCTGCTGTTTTATTTGTCTGGAAAAAAAAACTAAAAATTATATATATATATATATATATATATATATATATATATATATAATCTGTTCAATTCCAATACAGCCACACCTGATTCTACTTATTGAGGTACTGACTAACCAGTGTTGTGGCCATCACTATTATCTTGCAAGAGGACCAGCTGGATGGTAAAAACAGTACCAGTTGTGCCTCAAACGTATTTGGAGAAAAATGCCAAAAGAGTTTAACATAAAAGGTTCAATTCTGGTTTTACTGGCACAGGGATCCAGTGAGCGTCGCGTTGCTTCCAAAACAAAGCGTGTCTGCCAACTGGTTCAAATGTCACACAACAACCGAGGGGTGACATCAAATGACCTCCAAAAAGAACAGCAAGTGGCAGCTGGGGTGAAGTGCGCGACCAGGGCAGTTAGAAACAGGCTCCTACGGGTAGAACTGAAGTCGTGCAGCGCTGGAAAAAAAGCCCCTCGTCAATGAGAAGCAAAGAAGATTCAGACTGAGGTCTGCAACACACCATTACGATCGGACCACAGTAGTATGCCATCTTCCTCTGATGAGTCAAACCTTCAGCTTTGCGCAATACCCGGTAGTCTCGTGGTTAGACGGAGACCTGGAGAGGCCATTTGATGGGAAATGTGGGAGTGGTTCAGCAAGAGCCACTCCCAGATTGGGAATCTGGCAATTGCTTTCGTGTTCTGAGGAGTGTTTTTTACTCCACAGGACGATGCTCTACGCCACGGACAGGTGTGTCAAGGTGTGGATGAAGGACTCCCGGATCAGGAGCCTGTCATGGTCATCCCGATCTCAGACCTGAATTCCATAGAAAACCTCTGGAATGTTTGGGATGGTCAGAAGCCATCAAACAAAGCAGAGCTGTTAGAATTCTTGCTCCGGGAGTGGCATAAAGTCACCCAACAGCCAAGTGACTAGTAGATCAAAACTACTACTACATACTAGTAGATGGTAAAACCATAGAAACTGAATATTTCAGAGCTGTATGTTCATCCACACACAGCTATTTTTCATTCAAATTCATTAAGCGTTCAAAAATAAACGAATGAGGGGAAACCACTGGGAAATAAATCAGGTATTTAACCGTGTCCAAAAATCGATGCATTTACAAAGGTTTAATAAATGAAAGGATGGCATGAATGGCCGGTGCAGTGTGCAGGGCTTGTGCTTGCGCAGTGTACAAACAACACAAACACTTACCATTGGTGATCTGATGCTTGACGGTACAGGCCATTTCATTTGTTTTTGCATCGGAGTCATCACTACTATCGGATGTGTCCCCGGACATAATTTAAAAAAGAAAGAAAACACTCTCGCCTATGTAGACTGCTGCCAATTGAACTTGGTGGTCAGATTCTTCCTCGATTGTGCGATATTCAATTTACACTTACACGCTGAGCAATGTAAAGCAACTATTGTGTCTGCAGTATAAGAGGTATTCGGGGATTACCGAGATGCGCGCACAGCTGTGTGTCCTACACAATACCGCTGCTTCAACGTTGATCCCCATTCGCTTGACATCTTAGAGTTTCGCATTATTTATCTCATGTTATTGGCCGCTGTCGATCAGAAATCGCAGTCTCGTAGAAATGCAGGTTACAGCTGTTAACCAGCTGCTGTCCGCTTTATTTTAATATTAACCTTAGCACCGAGAAAGGCAGCCAGTAACGTTACTGGTTTTGAGATACTGTGTTCATCTTAGTTAAGAGGAAGTTGACGTGGGTGACGTTAGCATAGGCTGCTTAACAGTTGTCATTTTTCACAATTTAGCTACCCTCGAGTAATAATAGCGTTAACGCGGATGCGTAAATACACACGATGCTAGTTAGTTAGCACAATTGCTACGATAACAAGATACATTTCCTGGGCTAGCTGGATTGATAGTAGCAATTTGACAAACTAGCAGCTGGCTAACAAATTTTTGCTAGTCCTCGTCAAAGTTAATATTTAGTTAGCAGTGATCACGAGCCTGTTCGGATATCCGCTATTCAACCATGTCAGAAAAAAAGGCCGTTTCGGTTGTTTCTTATCCTCTTTGTCCTGGCTAGAGCCTCGTTAATATTCGCCCAATACATAAAAAAAATGTTGACAAATGTAAATGATTAGCGGTAAGCTAACTGCTATCACCAGGATGCTTTCGCCACAACCTGGGCGACGGTCCGTCACGTGACCCGCTCAGTGTGGGAGGAGCCAAGCAGCTCGAAACCTCGAGAACTGCTCAGACTCTTTAGATCATTTTTCTACGTTGGTACTTGTACATTCTTTCCATATAAATAATAGATCATATACAACAGCTGCACTAATTACAACATCAGTATCCAAATGGTTGAGAACGTGCGGGTGGGGTGACACGTTCACGTCGCAGTCATAAGCACGTTTTTGGGTTGTAGCTGACGTGCTCATTTAACGAGTATTGACACTTCATCTGTTTGTCCTGCAAAACGTTTCGTTTTTTGACAAACAAGGCATTCATTCACCTTTGTTCATGCCTGCGGCACGTAACGCGTGTCCATCAATAGCGCGTTGACGTTTGTAAGAGTAAAGATTTACACATTATATTATGAAGAATCTCATTTCACTTTTTATTGGCTTTTAATGTAAGGTTTGAATCACATGGAATAAGACCTTACCATTAAATGTAGCTCTACCACTGTATTAAGTCAATTAACATGGTTTGGTCTTTGAAGGAAAAAGACAAAGCTGACCTTTGAAAAATACATTCAGATGTTGTACAATTGATTGCCATTAAACCGTTTGAGAAAGTTTCTTCCACATCTACTGCGTGTGGTTGATAATTACAAACTTGTCTCATAACCCAATTTCGGTTGTCTGAAGTTAGAGGGAAAACCAGATGCAGCAAATCTAATGTGGCTATTTGACAACATGTTTATTTGAAGGTATCCGGAGCCATGTCGCTCAGCTATATTAACACACATGTGGATTTCCTTTCCAAAAACAGAAACTAAACCGCCACGGCGCCACTGTCACGGGGCAAAATTAACACAAAGTAGTGACAGCTAATAGCAGGGCTTTAGTACTCAAAGACAAGTCAAAAAAATAATAAAGACACATCATAAAGTGAAATAATTGGAACCCCAATATCTCAACCACTAACTGCTGGTTTAGAAAGGAAAAATCCACCCTAAAATGTCGGTTTTTTCACACGTGGTGGAAATACTCCAGCCAGGGACGTAGTCACATATTGCACAGCAGAACTCTACTTTCTACTTTTGGAGTGAGGAGTCCAAGATCTCAAGCCTGTCAAAAACATTCACTTGGACTTCAGTAAATACAATGGAAAGTTTCAACGTGATCGCCAGATCAGAACACTGTGGGAGGACCGTTGCGTCACGTAAACACACGCCACAGCATTGCACTAAAGTTTACGTTTATTCTAGATTAGTAGTATAGCAGATTTCAAAACAATAACTTGGGTGCCTCGATTTGCTGTCTGACATTTTAAACCCCTTTAGCAAAATACCCCCTTCCCTTATGGTATCAAGTAACTTTACCATTTGATTAAATCCATACTCTTACCAGCAAATTCAACACGCCCGATATTGGCTGTAAACAAATACCATCGTCACTTGGGCCCAAAACAGAAAAGCTAAACAATAAAAAAAGGACCAAAATAGTTCGTTCAAATGACCAATGTTGTTCAGTTGTGATCTACATTAGTCTTTATTTTTTTCTTTCCTTAAACCAATAGGAACATGTTATCTGAATCAGGGTGGATTTCCCCTTCAAACACGGCATGTGTTAGTGCACTAAAACTGTGCGGTTTCAGCATCTGTACACATTAATGCAATTGTTTTAAGATTTTTTTTTATGGAGTCCTGAAGTTTTCCAGGAGAACATACAAGACGCTTTCTCAAATACAATGAAAAAGTTATGAAACTGATTTTAAAAAATAAAGAAACATACACATCAAGTCTCAGGGAGACTGACAATAATATTATTTTGAATTTGAAGGCAAAAAGGAGGCTGTAATAATCAAAGGGATTTTCACGTTTTTCCACTGTTGTCTTGGTCTCTTGGTTCTCATCAGCGAATGGCTATCAGTCCAATATCAATAAGTTTCTGGATCTTCTGGGCAATGACTGGATTCTTCAAGTGGCTGAGGATCAAGCAGCAAAAAAATAAAACACATTAGATTCTTCATGCAGAGACAGAAAGCAAGATTAAAGAATTGGTAAACATACTCGCTGAGCGCCTGAGGGTCCTTCTGCATCTGCTCCAGGATCATGCGCATGGCTGGGTCACTCATGATCTGCTGCACCTCAGGGTCAGACATGGCCCTCTGCTTCACTTCCTCCGGAGTGTCGTTCCTCGTGTTCTGACTGACCATACAGCGCTGAATGCCTTCTGTGGCTTCCTGGATTGGGAAAGAAAGACAAAAGAAAAAAAACAGCAATTATGTATCAGACTTAATATTCCATCAAATACCATTCAAAAATGTCCCTTTGTTGCATAGATTTGTGTTCAACATGTATTTCGATTTTAGTTTGACGGAGCGAGCAGACGGGCCACAGAAGGACGAAGGGTCCTGCCTTCATTGAAACTCCAGAACTTTCCCACATATGTTTTTTTACTGAATTGAACTGATTGAAAGTAAACTGTCAATCACAACAATTTAACTACATACTACACATAAGAAATAACTATCAATTCACATTACTTAATCGTTTGACGATGCGAGTGCTCAATGCCTCGGATCTCCTCCAGACTGTTTTTTCAGTGTTAAATACCTTTGAGGAGGAGTCCAGCTCCAGTGCCTTCTGGTACACATCCACAGCTTTAGTGAAGTCTTTCATGGCCTCCAAAGCAGCTCCTTTGCGTGTGTAGCCTTTTACTGTGGAAAGAGGAGTGTGAGGTGTAGAACCAAAACGATTAGTCCTGAATCCAAGTTATGAAAAGGTTCTACTTGGTGCTTGTTTCTGGACTTCTCATATCTGGGAAATCAAGCAGTGTCTTGTCTGGGTGCACAACATCTATCATCAATGGGTTTTATCGAACCACACGTCAGCTGGACGAACCCAAAATAAAGAGATTACGCTGTTATTTCATAGAGGCAAAAAGGGCTTAAGGATGCCCATTTGTAAAAAGTATGAATTCATGTTGTTAGAAAATAGATGAAGAAAATCACTGCCTTCTTCACACTAGTTGAAAAATGTCAATGCGCTCAGGTTCGCATTCACTATTCCTGGCTTTGCATTCACTTTGTATGGAAGCCAGTCGCACAAAGATTTGCTACTCGTTTAGTGCGAACGCGTAGCAAACACGCTCGATTCAATTTCAAGCCAAATGCGTTTAAAAAGGGTAGTACCTAAACCACGTGATACTTACTGAAGGAGGGCTCCAGTCGGATGCACTCTTCACAATCCTGACAAATGAAAAAGGGTTTTTTTGTCAGGTTAGAATGTCATTAAGGAACTAACGAAGACGCTCGCTAAGGAAGCACTGTACCTTTAGGGCAAGTTGAAACTCCAACAGCTTTGTGTAGCAGGCGGCTCTGTTACTGAAAAGTTTGGCATCCTTGGGGTTTCTCTTGATGGCCTCCGAGTAATGTTTCATGGCTAAGGGATAGTCGCCTGGATGAGGAAAAACAGTGGTTCCCCTTTATTCCAGGTCTTGAACAAAGAATGAAATGACAATGAACTATGAATTTGAGTTACAACTATTGCGCCTGTGTGCGCGCCCACACACACCCCTACCTTTCTGGAAGGCGTCGTTGCCCTTGGTTTTCGCTTCCAGGGCTAAGTCGGGGTTGATGTATGCTAGTTTCTCCTGCTCTTTCAATATCTTCTCTGCCTGCAGAGCAAATTCAAGTTTAGAAAAAGAATGAATCAAGAGTGCACTTATGTTCACATACCCTGTCCAGTAGCCCTCTTTAAATAGTTTGGATAAATTGGAATCCAAAAGCTTCATTGGGTGGGAAATTTGCTTGCACTGCACCTGTTGACACCTCTTCAGGACGTCGGGTGTGCGATGCTCCGACAAACTCTTGTTCAAATACTGAATAGCTTCTTTATATTTCTCCTGCTTGAAGTACGAGTTTCCAATCCTAGCCAAGGCCCTGTACAAAGAAAAGGAGAAGATAAACATATCAAATGGCAAGACAGGATATGGTTCTTTTCTCAACTACACTTTAAAGAAAACATCGTTGACCATTATGAAACCACTAACAAGAACCAGTCACAACTACCGTTGTAACTCATGTTCTTTGGTCAGATGGGAGTGATAAGTAATAGGGCAACACGGTCACCTAATGGTTCTTGTACAATACATTTTCTCTGGTGATAAACTGGTTAGATGTACGCTGTTTCACATCCAGATGAGAAAACATTTTATATATATATATATGCTACAGGAGCAACAAACCACCACTTCATCCTCTAGGTCAGAGAGCAGAGTAGTTATATTCACTCCAGTAAAGACAGAAATCAAGATAATAGACCAAAACAGGCCAATACTTCTGGACTCACTTAGCGATTTGTCTGTAGTCTTCCCGGTTCTCTCTGCCAACATCGATGGCCTTCTCACACAGCTCTCGGCACTTCTCGAAATCTCCCATCTCAAAGTACACAGCTGGAGGGATGGAAAAAATGAAAACATGATCAACACTCACAGCCTAAACTAAAGGTTATATTTGGATCAATTTTCATTGCATTTGTAAACACTGGAGCTGTCAAAGATAACGCGTTTATCCATGAGATTATTGTAGGCGAGATTGAAGTGCTATATTATTTTAACGTAACTTTATTTACTTCCGGTATCCATTGACCCCTGAAACGAAACCGCTGCATGCTGTGGTCAGTTAGACCGGAGGGAGAGAGATGGCAGTCGAAAAAGTAAAAAAAAAAAAAAAGAAGAAACTGAGGCGCGACACAGAGCGGAGAACTGTGCAGAGTAAGCTGTACACGTGTCGAACAGAAGGGGGATGAGCGGCAAACAGACCACTTTAGGACCCGGAGTGCCCGGAGCAGGTTAGTAGCTGCTAGGCTACTTCCATCTCAACATCTACCCTGCACAGCACAGTCTGCAGAGGACCACCACTGTGTGCCTAAAAGGCAGTGGTTTGGAAAACGGCCTGGCTAAATGTCGGCTGTCAAATGATGCAGTTGAGAGCACAGCAAAGTGCACGAGGACAGCAGGAAGAGTCACTAGTTCAACATGTTCCACGTGGTGGAATTCTGCCGTGGAGAAGATCAAATGTGTGTAGTTTCATGTTAAGATAAAATACACGCTTGCTGAAGTGATTAGTAAACTAACTTTTTAATCTAGATTAATGAATTTCAAAATGTGAGATCAATTAGTAATTTTTTGTAATCTATTGACAGCCTTAGTAAACACACTTGTCACTGGATGTACCTGCTTGATTAGATATGTAGGTCATGTTGGTGGGGTCATGTTTGATTGCTTCTTCGTAATGCTTCAGCGCTGCATCAAAGTTCTTATTCTTATATGCGTCATTCCCAAGTTCCTTTTCTTTCAAGGCCTATAAGAAAATGGAAAACAAGAGGATTAATAAAACTCATAACACAGAGAAGGCACAAAATTACTTTACAAGATTGATGATTCAGTTAATTGCCTTTTTGTTTTTCTTTACCTTTCTCTTGTTTTCGGGAAGGTCTTCCTCTTTAGGAGGAGGCGGCTGGGTCTCTTTGGGTTTGGGGGGAGGAGGGGGAGTAGGCCCCTCTTCTTCCTCCATCTCAGAGAGGTTCAGCCCCAGCAGCACAGAGAGAGTGGTCATCACTCTGGGATCCTGCAGCTTCCTACAGAACAGTCAGGCCAACAAATGCATTTCTAATACAATAGCAATCAGGATTAATGCACGTTTTTTAAATTAACTTTAGATATTGATTGATTTTTATATTTGTTGTATTACATTGTCGAATGATTATAAAAATTATAAAAAAGGGAACAGCAAATTGTATGTATTGTTGTACATTTATCAAGCTATAACTCTGTGCAATCCTATAACTAAGCTATAGCTTTCTGTGCAATCTTATTCCAACTAAACATATTTTGGATTATCTGCCTCAAACAACTTGTAGACTTAAATCAAAAAAATGTTGTTAAATGCACATACGTGCCAAGCTCCGACGGTTTGTTCCTGAGCTGCTCCAGCAGTTCTCTGTAGCTGGAATCTGACAGTAGCTCCCGGGTCCGAGAATCATTCTCCAGCTTCTGATACAAGTTGGGCATGGCAAAGGGGTTCATCATTGACTTCTCTGGTGAAACAGAAAAGAAAGTTCATTACTATAACTTGTATGGTCACACAGAAACACATCTTGCACTGGTCTAGGATTAACTTCAGCAGAACGTTCTCCTTGCAACCCACACTACTTGCATCCTGAATTAATAATAACACTCAAAACCCAAGTGGGCTACCTACTCTCTTTGAAAACTTGAGCACTGATGATGATTTCACTTCAGTGGTCCCCATCAACAGTCGTATCTAAACTCTCTATACACGTAGGTGCCAAAAGTGACATACTATTTTCAATGTTTTTTCTCTAGAATGAAAGGCATGACAAATGTAAGAGTTTTTACCAGCAAGCCGGGCCTCAATGTTCTGCAAACCCTCTTTTAGCTGCTGATTAGCAGGCTCTTGCCTGAGGCCTTCCTGGTAAGTTCCTTTAGCATCCTCCAATTTGCCAAGGAATTCCAATGCTGCAGCTTTACGGGAGTAACCCTAGTTGATAAAAACAGCAATGTTGTAAATGGCCTTCAAATTGTAATTCAAACATATATTGTCCACAGAATAATGACAGAGCAAATGACGTCTTACCTTTCCCCAGTTAGGCTTGATCTTGATGGTCTCACAGGCATCCTTGAGAGCACTCTCATAGTTGCCTTTCTTAGCGTAGGCAGCAGAGCGGTTACTGAACAGGACATGGTTTGAGGGGTCAAGAGTCAAAGCTTCGGTGTAGCATCGTACAGCCTCATCAATATTTCCTGCACTCAGTGCCTTGTTGCCTTGGTCTTTCAATGCTGAAACCTGGAAGAGTGGAAGATAAATCAAACTAAGCATCAACTTCACGAGAATATGGCGGAATAATTTATACAAAGAAGCCCTCTATACCATTGTCCCAGGAAAAAAACCTGTTGAGTGGCATTACTTTCTTTCCACAGCTAACAGACTTGATTTAAATCATTAGATGTAACATATTTGAAGACATAATGTACAACATAGCAATCCCCTGTGGTTCTGTGGGCTAGGATTTACTAGGTATACTGTGGAGAAAATTTTCAGTAAAGTGCAAAGCAAGGGGAGACATAAAAAATGTTTCTAAATAAACTCAGTCGAATTATCAAATCTGTACAATACATATTTCACAAACTGTGGCACTATTTAGCAGAATAAGGCATTGTTCAGTGAGGTCTAATCATCATTGATTGTGGTGCTTTCTTTTGGAATACTCATTTGTGCATCCAGAAGACGTAATGTCAAAAATAAGTCAGGAAGCATGTTATTCTGTACAAGAGAAGGCTGGTCGAGTAAAGATGGAGAAATACACTTTAATCACTGTCATTTTTTTCTCCAAATAAATTATGCCGATAATTTAAAATATATTTTAAAACAGAGTAACTGCATCAAAATGAATGGATCACCAGAAGTATATGAACCGCACAGTTACAGAACCGTCAAGAAGAGGCAGCAGGTGACAAACTGCGGCCGTAGCCATGACAGCGGGGCCGTGTGCATCTAGAATGATCCTCCGGTCTGAGTGAGGCTGCTCAGACCAACGCTGAAGCAGATCCAAAAATACTCCTGCAGCATGTGCTTACAGACGCGCTGTCGCAGTTTAGCCGTCGGTCCTGTGCCCCAACATTTGAACAAAAGGCGTTCACGGGAGAGCTTAATGCACGGGTTACATTTGTCCCTCGTTTAATTCAACGTTCACGTTGGCTGTAACGCAGTTTAACGCTCGTAGCCGGGAGGGTAACGTCACGTTAACGTCAGTAGTATCTTAACGTTAGTTAGCTTAACGTTAACACAAGAATATCTTGCGGGTATTGGAAAGGGGGGTTAGCGAAGTGCCGTGTTGTATCGAGTCACAGGCTCGAAGTGACAGGGCCAAACCTGTTGTGGCATTTTCAATGATAAAGCAGCTGTGGTCATTTGTTAAGTCATGAGCGCTAGCTTAACAGTTAACGTTAGCTAACCTTGACTTGTGCATTTATTAATTAGCCACAACCGCTATTAGTTAGCATAACGTTAGAGAAGTTTGTACAGTTCGGAATCCAGCTTAAGCCCATTGTAAATTCGTCATTCAAAATATACGCCTTAAACTCATTCAGACAACATCGGCTAAACAGCTACAGCACATTAACGTTACTGCCAGATTGACGCGAAGCTAACAAGCTAGTCAGCTCTCCGACGTTAGCAAACAGTGAAGTTAAGGTGTAAAGCGGTGATTTACTACACTTTCAACGTTAGTATTTCATTGGAGACACGCATAACAATAGCGAATCCTCAATAATTCAAGATAAATTAAGTTTTCTAAATATTTACGAAGACGATTGCATGACACTCACTTTCTCCATGGTGCAAGCATGAGGTTCCTTCCAGAAACTACTGCGGACAAGCGCCTCCCCCTGAACAACACGCAAGTTGCCAGGTTGGGATGTACAAATTCCGCAAAACAGCCCCACTATTTACGTCTCACAGGATGTTCCGAGGGACATGTTATATATATAGGCCGCAAATGGAAACTTCGAGAAGATGACGGAGTAAAACCAGGATGTGTTAACGTCACACAAGATGAAAGCCTTGCCCTCTGTTAACTGTTTAGAGATGGGCATTTGCAAATGCTTTGAGTTTGTTGTACGGCTTGGAATGAGAAGGCAAAACCGAATATCTCTAATGTGAATAATTTATGTTTTTAACTTTTGAAATGTGTTAGTCTACCTAAAATGGTAACACATATAGCTAGAAATGTGCATGGATTTTTAAGGCAATCTGTAAGGTCATATCATCATAAAAGACACGTGTTATCAATATATAATACAAAATGCAATATTTCATACCTCTCTGCCCCCGATCTTACTCCCAAGTCATTATAACTACAGGGTGCTACACATCAGTCCATTTGCTTTGTCAAAGTGCAATCTCATTTTAGCAGACAAACAAGAACTGCTATAATTTTATTTATTCGTGTTTTACTGAAGAACATGAGTTGTGCTTCAGCAGTCGTTGCTCAGTGAACTGTTTTTGACTCCAGTGCAGAAATGAAAGAGATTCAGAGGATTCGGGGAGCAGCTGAAATATTGAGTTGTTTCTCACCTGCAATAACATCCAATAGAACACAGAACTTGTTTGAAGATTGATCATTTCTCAGAGAAAAAAGGATGTTATGGAGGCCATCCTGAATAGACCATTTATGCCGCTGTTGCCATGGAATCACGAGCAATGATACACAAGACTAAGAAGCCATATGTCAATATCAAATACGTTCATATTGTAATATATTTATCCTTTAATATAATATATTTATTACATGATATTTATATTGGATATTTATAATAGTTGTGGTAGTTCTGAATATTGCTATATATATATAGAGCATGCCTTGTCTTATATGGACTCTCCAAAAAGATGTCCCCCATCTGTATCTACTGTTCATCCCCTGATCTCAGCACCACCGTAAAGAGGCAAGTGAGGTCTACTGACGATGCATTGCAGCATTATGGACCACGTCAAATGAGATTGAGGTCACAACATGTGGTTGTGGCTAGGACGATCCTATCATGGATGAGGGAGACTTACTGACACATGGGGCTGGAAACAGGACTAAAAAGTCAAATAGAAGCCCAAATGATTAATTCTTCTTTTTCATTTTAGTATGTGTATTATAATACCTCTAGTTAAGGTAATGCAACTAGTTGTCTATTTGGGGTTAGTAGTACACTGTTCCATGTAAGCAGGGAGGAATAGACCTAAGATCTGAATTTTCAACTGCTTCTTCAAAGTCTAAACTATCACTTATTGTATTGAAAAAAAAATTGAAGTTGTGTTATATTTATAGTCTTATAACAAGCAATGTGGTGTTAATTTTGCATACCAACAAAACAGTAATTAAAAAAAAAAAATGGCAACCAGATTTTTTTTACTAATCCTAATAAAAGTGCCAAATAGTTAAAGTGTGTGAGTTGTTGGATAGACCACCTGTCCATACAAAGACATCGGTGACATGTGCCTATAATGTTGTGCTTTTTTGTCTGTATTCAGTCAAAATGCACCACAAACAAGCGCTGCGATTCACACAAATCGATTGCCGGTACATTTAACTGAAGCAGGACCTCCGAGCTCGCTCGGGGTCCCTGAAGGCTTCACGCGTCCCGCGGTTTTGCGCGTTCTTCTTTTCAAAGTGCTGAACGACAAACTAACGTTACATCTCTTTATAAAAGTATAAGGGTCGCGACTTTTGTTTTTGCCAACAAAACGAGTGACTCATTTTGTAGTGTGTTCATAGAACTGGTGACTGTATATTAACTTGTATAACAGCTGTAACATTTCCTGTTAGAGACCTCAGCTAACATATTGTTACAGTGTTAGCTAGCGTTAGATTGTTAACAGTGTGTTACACTCGCTAACGTAACGCTACTTTACCCTAAATAGACTAAAATACATCAACATTCAAACTGGCTTAACTTGTCAAGGTATTTCCATCTGAGTGGGTGACCAACACTTCCCAAAGTGTTTTCCATCTTTATTTGATGAGCTTTGATGAGTTTTTTTCCCCAAGCACCACAATGAGGAGACAAGAAAACCAGCCAGCCAGACCAACAGCAGGTTAGTAAGAGACATATTTCACAATCCCATAACAAGTAAAGGTGTGTTCTATTTGTTGTAGTATTTGTATGAGAATTTAAGGTCATTGAGGTACATTTTGATTAGTTTGACCATGTTCCAACCATCCTCAAATCTGAAACATTTGATTCTGTCTTGCATAATGTACTGATGTTTTCTCTGCTGTGTCCACCAGGCTGCATGTCTGTCCCACTGTTTAACCAGAAGAAAAGGAACAGACTCCCTCTGACATCTGCGCCCTCGGAGAACGAGTTCTTCTCCCACAGTGAATACACAGCAAGCGGCTCAGCTGCATCTCACAGCGCTTCAGGTGAAGCTTAAGTCGGGCTGTTCAAGCTTCTGCTGTATTTCAGACACTAGGTGGCAGTACACCCCCAGAAAAACATAAACTATACACATAACACTACACAAAACATCACAATTACCATCTCCTGCTAAATGACACCATTGAGATCACTCTACATAAAGGATAGGACCACGTTTTGGAACGTCTTTGTGTGAAGTAGGACGCACGGCTAGAGACAAAGGGAGGGCTGCTCCAAAAACCTTCCCCTGAGAACGTACCTTTCCTCAGGTACCTACGGACGTTACCAGGCCTCCGGTCCGACCTGTGCGGCTCCACAAAGCCAGCAGTGGAGCAGACAGGGCATCCCATCATCTACTCCGCCCCAGCAGTATGGCAGCAGCAGACCTGCTCCGGGACCTGCCCCTCCAATTAGAACCTACGCATCCATAGCCCACCCATACAAAGCTGGAGGCACAGGGTATGTTAAGACTATTTGTATGATGGTTGGATATTTTTATTATCAAAATAAGAAAATGTTAGTCACCCTTTGAGAAACCAGATAAACCGTTGGATAGGTTTACAGAAATATGGATCATTTAATTTAGGCTAAAGATATTATAATTTTGCTATTTAACAGTTTAACGTGGCTAGTGACTTTATGTATGCTGGGTTTCCATTTTGGATCCTAAAATGTGAAAATAAGTTAAAATATCTTTATTTTCAGCTCTGACATGGGAAAGCCCATCAATTCAATGAGACAACTGGATTTTAGCCTCAGTGGTCATTCTGGACAGAGCAGCTATCAAGCCTCCCAAATCAGGCAGAGTGCACAAATTAAGCCAGTGCCCCATCCAAGCTTCTCCCCAATGGGTCAGCAGTCATCTTACAGACCACACAATCCCACACACCAGTATTCTCCGCAGCCCAGACCTCTGTCTGCTCCTGTCCCGCCACCCAGCAGGCCCTCTGCCGCTGCAGCAGAGCCACAAAGAAACTCCTGGAAGTTTACTAACAGCTTTGGGCCGCAGAGATTCCCCTTTGAGGGAAACAGGGGCACAAATCAACCTCAGACTCTGCGACAAAGTCAAACTCAGGTAGAAAAATATCTGATGATAATATTACTATGCGATGATTCTAAAATGTACCATTAATGTGTCATGACATTGATCTGAAACGTCCAGCATTTGTGTTCACGCTAAGCAGGACAGATTTCCAATGAAGCCAGCCATCGAGAACTCACTGAGGATCATGACTTCAGTTATTGATGGCATGAGACACTGGAGCCAGTTTAAAGACAAGGTCCCATACCTGTTTGAGATATTTGGTCAGTTTTTTTTAGGAGTAGCTATGATCTCTGATGTGCACGTATTTTGAAACACCATTAAACGGGCAGGCTGTGCTCTTCCCTCAGCTACTCTGGACTCTGCGGTCACGCTGGGTCTCCACGGAGCGAAGAACTTCCTCATGAGAGACGGGAAGGAGGTGGTGATGTGTGTCTTCTATGAAAATGTGAGTTGAGAAACAAGCTTCTTCCTAATAAGTAAATGGAAGGAATTTCTCAACGTCCATTTGCTCACATTAACTTGCCCCAAGCCTCCTCAGCTCAAATCATATAAAGTCACGGCTTTCACTGAAAGGGATTTTGTGTTAACCACGTTTGGTGTGAGCGCTGGTATTTGATTTAATCGTCAACCGCCCCTCCTTTCCAACAGGAACAGGAACTGCCGCGTCTCATCCGTGGTCAGGTTCACCGCTGCGTGGGGAACTACGACCGCAGCAGAGACGTCCTGATGTGCGTGTCCGTCCGACCCGGCCTGCCCTCAGAGCTGAGAAACGCTCCGGAGGCCGTCAAAGCCTGCGACGCAGAAATGAGAGCGCTGGTGAAAACACTCAGTGAAGTCTGAGCATGAGTTCTGTCGGTGTCTACAACCAGTATACCAGTGTTTGATGAGAGTTCTATGTATTGATAGATAACTGGTGTTTTGGGTCGGAGTCACAGTTAGTTACAAAAAGCATGTTTAAAGAATAATAATTGTTGACGTGTGAAGGGCGCTGTTGCGCTGATGTACTGGACTTTAACAGTTGAATTCACTTGCGTTTGCATCCATAAAGAGTTATTTCCTTGAACTCAAACCTGAATGGAAAGTAACGCCTCTCTTCTTTGTAAGTTCTGAAACATTTTTATTACAAAGAAAAAGTCACAGAACAGCAAACATTGTTTAGATGTCAATAAAGCAAACACTATGAGGTAAGATCTCAAAATATGTCTTTGAAAAACTGGGCAGTCTGGATTAACATGTGATACCAAGTACAGTTAGTTTATTTACAGTCAAACATCACAATGGAAAAAAAACAATAATTCTACTCTACCAGAACAGATCCACCAGCGCTGAGACTTTACACACAAAGAGGGGAAGAAGTCCAGAGCCGCCACAGCGCAGCACAGTTTGAGGTCCAATACGAAACACGTCCCTCCCGACCTTCACTCAAGTATGGCAACAGAACCACAGTCACGTTCTTAATGTCGGGACACGTCGTCACGGGAACCTAATTTGGGAAATATTTAAAGATAAAACCATTAGCAAAAACCAACCCATTATTCAACACTAATACGCACATAAACACCCACTAGGAAAAGGGAGTCTAGCTTGATGAAAATCGGCAGTGTGAATGGAGAAGTAGACGTTTTGTCCTTGGGACATGACAGGAACGGTGCCAGCGCTTTGAAGAGGAGAAGTGGATCGATGCAAACACGGCAGCACGTCAGCTGCTTCAGGAGCAAATGATTCCGAAGCACGTTCTGCACATAATGTGAACGATGCGTCAGCCTCACGCAGATAACCCAAGGCAAAGTTCAATCTGTACCGCTCCCTCCTCAGCCACTCACTTTTTAAATCACGTAAGACAAGGATGCCAGGAACTAATCCGCTAGCTGCACGTCACAACCTTTTAAGAAAGCAATTGAAGTGATTTACCTCTTCTAGGTAATTGGCTCGTACTGAACACGAGTTGCTTTTTTTCTCTCCTCTGGCCGAGAGGATTAGGAGACGTCGTCTTTTTTTTTTTTTTAATCCTCTGGAACATTTTTTCAAGTTAATGAGATCACACTGCAATGAGTACAGGAGCAAGACGTCATCACTGAGAGCAGAAAATATTTTACAAAATAAACACATTACGTACTCAACAGGATCCAGAGTTTCTCAGCAGAAAACGATGCTAACCTGATAGTTGTAATAAACGCTTGTCTTGGTTATGTTAAAAGGCACAAGTTGGTCTGATCACATTTAAAATCGAGATCAATCGTTCTACCGTTAACAAAGCCCATCTCATGCTGCCTTTCTGACAAAGATCCTACACCTCTGTGCCTTTTTCTTCCTGAAATAAGAGTGTTTTAGTATTGTGTGTTGGGGGACATTTGTTTCATAATTAACAAGCGGGTTACATTACACAAACAGTTCTGGGGAAAGGGTATAAAAAAAGAGCGCAGTATCCCAATATAACATTTTTTTGACCACACAGCTCTGGTACCACCACGAATAAGTAAAATTAACATCCTGGTGATAGGAGGAGATTCCCATTTGTCATCTTCTCCCCGAACGCATCGTCCTTGAAAGCTAAAATGTCTTCTTGACCCTCACTGGTTCGACGCCTGGTCACGTGACTTGACGGCAGATAAAGTCTGAGGAGCAAACATCTTGCGACGCATCAGATTTCCCCTTTTCGACGTGGTACTTTGAAGGCTCAGACACCAGCTTTGTAAAGTCCAGACGACAGGTTCAGTCCAGTGGGAAATACATCTTCAGTAGAACCTTTTTCTATTTGTATTCTCGGCCTTCAAAGTCGCCACATAATCTCATGCTCACATTCTTTATGCCCCGAGCCTGTAGTCTGTTTTGTGATGTCACATCTGTGGACTTGCTTTGCACAAACTGAAAACAAAACAAAAAAACATTTTTTTATTATCTGTAGTCATCTCCTTAAATCGTTTAAAATGAGCTCCTCGCATCTTCTGACCGCATCTTCTCCGTAAATCACTTGAAAAGTTAAACTGCAGAAAACTATAACCACTGAGTAAAATCTTAACATAAAACATTCCATCTATACGAACTGAACTTTGCAGTAACCACGTAACAGACGCAGGAAGACGGTGTTTGCTGTCGGGTGTTCAGCCTCGGCCGAGTCCCAAACAGCATCACTTTTAGGAAACGGGATGCAGGCGTCTGTCAGTGACGTCACGGAGGGACGAGGTGCACTATAACAGCGTGGGCAGAGGGGTGGGGGACAGCTGCTCCTTCGGCGCGTATTTGGCAAAAAAGGGCAAGAAGACAGTGAGCATGACTCCGACAATAGCCAGCATGTAGCCCCATCCGATCTGGCACTCGCCGGCGTAGTAGATGTCGGCGTCCCCGCAGGAGGACCGCACCAGTGAGGAGTTGAGGCCGAAGGGGTAGACCAGCAGTCCAGCAGCCATGATGAACACTGCAGAGGGAAGCGGATAGACATTGTCATTCGTTAATGCTCTCGGAGGGAAAGATTTCAGGCAACAGCGCGAGCAGGAAAGGACGATTAAAACAGTTATTCATTCATATAATTATATAATCCTGTCAATCCTGTGGATTTATTGAGAATACAAAAGAAATGCAAATAGGAGATGACTGACTGACAAAATAACAACAATAAAACACATTTTCTAGATTTGAACTCTGGACCTGTGTGCCAGCTGGAAGCCACTTGGTGGCAGTAGAGGATTTGTCCACAAAGCTTCTGCTGCGCTGTGTGAATGAGGTCCTTCATCAGTGGCCCCCGCCGGCACTTCTGCTGCATTCTGTCCCCTCAGACTCCGTCCCCACAGGGCTCAGAGGCCGCATAGCGGCTCACTTTTAACAAATGGAGTCAAGTCTCCCGGTCCGTGCTGCCAAAGCAGTTATTGGCCGCGCTGCCGGCTCTTGGTGGTGCTCGGAGTCACTCTCGAGTGCCGGCTGGATTTCCATCACAATGCCAGGTTCCATGGTTGCCTTTACCGGGGTGCGTGCGGGGGGGCGGGGGGTTACTGGCAAAGTTTGAACCTGAGAAAGCGAGCAACTTTCCATAAACGCAACAAAGCAAATCTGTTGTCACGGACTCCTTTCTTCATGTGAGAGCAGCTCCACGGTACCTGTGGGGACATCACGTGGAAGGTCTGTGTGGGCAGAGCTTGGCTGGCAGCACAGGGGCGAGCGGGCCGGGCCGCTCATACCGATGTTCTAGTTGCACGCTGGCGGCTTTGGGATTTACTGTTAGGTGGCGAAAAAAGGTATGAGGGGAGGAAACAAACACCAGAGGCATCTCCCACGTGTTGTTTATGAGGCCTGTCGTCTCTCTGTGGACCTCAGTGAGGATCCTCCGCTCCGCTCAAACAGTTCAGAGTGGCCCCCGTGTTTTATCTGCCTGGGACGAGCGGCTCGAAGCTTACCCGTCTAATGGTGCTTTAATGACCTTCTTTATCATTTTATCGCTGGCTTTAGTGGAAGTAACACAAAGGCCTCTTCCCTTCCACTCACAAAATTATGGAAGCATCAGAACAGAAGAAAACTTGGACACAAAACTGGAACGATGAACCACACAGCATGACCCCCAAATAATCAATACGGGAACAAAATGCAGGGGCCCACTTTCTAACAAGCGTCAGGTAAGCAGGATGAGGATTGGATTTTATCAATCACACCAGCGATACGCAGGGCTGGATCAGAGCTCTGCAGCTCTGCAAGCCCTTAATGAGAGGAGAACTGTTGAAACACTGGAAAAATCAACCTCATATCAAAGGCTAACACAAAAATGGATCCATTTCATCCTGCAGGTCTGAGAGGGATGAAAGCAAACCAAAGTAGACTTACAAAGGGGAACTCTGGCGATAACGCACGTCAATGTGTTTGCAGGTCTCGGGGTGTACTGCTGCTGTAAAACTCTGTCAGTCCAGAGGGAGCCGTGTAAGTCTGATAAAGTGCCGCAGGTGATGTCATTTGAGTCAGAACTGCATGGGGCTGGAGACCAAAAGCTTGAAAATTGGAAAACTCACAAGATGTGTAGCTGGAAAAAAAGTGGTTATACGAGACGTTTGTGGCTCCTGAATATACAACAAGTTTTTTCAAAGGCTTCCGCTGTGGCATTTATCTACAGTGTCAAGGAAACCTTATGCAGTACAATGAGGTCTATGTTTTGTGCAAAACACTCAATTAAGGTAAAGAAAGCTTGAAGGACAATTCCCCTCCAGGCTGGCTTAGCGTATTTTCATCAGGGTCTCACATGGAGAGTTGGTTCTCTGATGAACGGGCAGTGTGACGAAAGACGCTGACATGACGCCAAGACGACCATGCAGGGAAGACTGAAGACGCAAAGTGTGCATTACTGGTGCAGCCAGGAGAGCGATGTGCATGTGGAATTGACGGCACTGAGATAAGATAAGAAAGACGGGACGACAACGCCGTACTGTTGTTATGAAAAGCAACTTTAAAAAAGAACAGAGACTCCACTGGTCGACTGGTAAAGACTTGAATTCTCTCTTAAATGCAGTTAGGGAGTGTATGAAAAGGTACGTACAGTCCACCGCACAGGAGGACTGTATTATAAAGAGCGATCCACATCCACAGCAGCGGACAGTTTACTAACCCTTCCGACTCCTAATTAGCGCTCTGCTTTTGTGAGCTCGAGACTGGGAAGAAATTCCCCCCACAGAGAGGAACAAAGTGTCGGCCCCGATCAGATGAGGGCCCGCTGAGTGTGGCTGGCTATCATAATGTCTCAGGGATGATGAGACAGTGAATAACGGCGATGCATCCATTTAGCTGCATGGAACTAACGTGTCCCAGTTTCACGGGTATAAGTCACTTTGTCTTTTTTATTTATCTCAATTCACCCTAAAGAGGAGTCAGAGCAGAGTTTCTTCAATTACTCCTTCATGGCTTCTGCTCATCATGGCTGTATTTCTCATTACCCATTACAACTTGTTTGAATGGACACTTGAGTAGCTCTGCAGCACGCACAGGACTCGGACCGAGGGAGTAACATATCGATCTGGGAAGGAAAACCAGCCAGAGGCAGCCAAGAGCACTGCACATCATTGCTCCCCGTCAAGCCGCTTCCACGGGACGCTGCCAGGCTGCGCAGGCCTTTGTGAGCACTAATGAATAGCGAATACCTTCATGGGCTGGCTTCTCTGTTTTTGTTCAAAGGTTGTTTTTTTTTGTGCGCGCGTACGAGCCGAAAGGGTCGAAGAGGAGTCGCAAAACCAAATCAGAACCTTGTACTGCCACACAAAAGACTTTTGTGCCACTACGTGACCTAAATGTGCCTTGAATCTCTTCTGGAGGAATGAAAGCTGCTCCCGGAGGCGGGGAAACGGTCCGCGGCAGCAGAGAGCGAGAGAAAGAGATTGAACGGGTCTGTGGGATCGGGAAGGTGTGCAATAACCAATCACTTTCCTCACGGGCGTCTCGCACACAACTCCCTGGCTTAGATCATAACACCAATCGCTGGATCGCTCATGCGTTGTTTTAGGATTTGCTCAGCTGCAGTCGGCTGGAATCTATACTCTTCAGTCAGATAGCGTCAGAAATCCAATATACTGTACCCCCAGATATTCATACGCCTGGTATCTGATATTGAATTTCATTCTTCCCACCAATTCTGTGATTTTCAAGGGCCCTTTCATTACAATTGGCAGACTTCTGCTTTGGATCAAACTGTATTGGCCTCGGTGCTCAGTGTCAGAGAGCGGAGTTGAGTTGCACTCGAGAGGAAATATCTGCTGTAGATGCTGGGCTGTTTGCTCTCTCTGGCAAAACACTCAACATTATTCTATCATAGGTATCATTGTTTTTTTTAGGTACAGACACACCAAGAAAATGGAAAGTAGAATGGGAAACATTCAGTGAGTGATTAAGAGATGTGCAAAATACCTGACAGAACCGAAGCGACGGTTTTGTCTCACCTGGATTATTACTCAGTAGTTTGGTATGATACTAAATAAAGGTCAAATTGCAAAAAGTAAAGGGTCTTATTCAAATGCGTGATTGTTAAAAATCAATTAATGTATTTGTTGGTGTTGTTGTCATTGTAACAGCTCCATCATTTTATTTGACAAAAACAGAATTACACATTAGACGTCCGCCATTGGTTTGTGGACTGCTGTTCCGTGTGAATGTTGTGTAGATGGAATGTAGGTATGTGGTAGATTGTGGTAGATTCAGTCAGTCTATTCTATATCTGTGACGTGTTATCTGAATTGTGTCAGTGGTTATTGTTTTATTTAAAAGTGCATCACAACGTGATATAAGCGCATTAAGAGGAGTAGAAAATGTGTATTTCTTTATTTCCGCTGTGCAAACTGCCCGGACCGTAGGAGGATTTGCTACTCCATTTCAAAAACTAGGATTTTTGATAAACAAACAGTGCACTGATTATTGCCCAGACAGAGAGACAACTTGCACAGAAGTTATACTAATAACTATACTATATAATATACGAGCCTTGCCGCCAGCAAGAAGCAGAACGTACATGAAGAGACTAATGCGCTGCAGATCTTCTCCTGAGAGTCAGACAGACAGCAGTCCAACGTGTGAGTGCAAAAAAAATAATAGCATAAGATCCACAGTGCACCTTTGGGGGTCACCACCGCTGGCTCTCACTTCTGAAAGGAACGTCTCATCTGGCTGCTGTCCACACGAGGACATTATCTGCTCTCCACCTTAAAGATACGTGAACGAGTGCACACACTAGACTGTCGCCCGACACTCGCCCGCACGTCTTTGATGTCACATTCGCTTTCATTCTGAAGACACCACAAGCCAGTGGGAGGACAGAAAGTAGTAGTTTTTCTTGCGAGGATGCTGCCCGCCCTCTTCAGAATATTAAAAGAACCCTTCGATGGGGAGAAAAGGGTAAGAAATGCTTAGGGAGAACGGCAGAGGAAGATGGACTGCGATGGATGTCATGTGTACAGAATGTAAACAGCGTAAAAGATGTACAATACGTTCAATTCAAACAACGGAAATGATTCAAATGTACATATTATGGTCTTGAATTCCTCATATTTGTTCATGATCACCTCCTGCCTGTCAGCTGAGAAAGAAAGAGACTCTTCCTTTGAGTTTATTCGCCGTCGTACTGTTGGAGAATCATGGTTTCTGTGATCGACTCTTTCCCCATTTTGAAGCTGGCGAAATTATTCTGATGACTGAAGTTTAGTTGGAACTAACGAGACTGTTTGAGCGAGGATCAGCCTTTGAGGAACCGAGATAGCCTGACTTAAGTCATCGTGTTAATTTAAGCTGGCTAACATTGACACTGACACTGACATTTGATCGACTCAGGTGAACCACGTTCGAGGAACGGGGGGCCAGGCCCCTAAGGGAGCATCTCTGGATCTGATCCCGGTCTAGTCCCAGCTGAACATATAAACAGCCAACACTGCAGGAAAAGAGTGGCACAAAAACACTTTGTGG